TTCAATGCGTCAGCGGAGAAGGGCAAGAAAACCGTTGCCAAAGCAGCTTCATCTTTGAACGCTGGGCGATTCGGTGGCGAGTATGTCAACAGGCAAAAACTACCTACTCTAGAATCTGGCTGCATCATTTGTAATTGTAATTGTAATATCTATAATACATATATATATATAATATAGTAGTAACTATATTTATATATATAATATTCAATACTCTATTCATTCTAGATTCTATATATTATAGTATCTGCTAAACAATACATGTTGGCTTGGAATTCCGGCAAGCAATGCCGTTGAGGCAAAAATCTGGACTACGGCTTGAGGAACTCCGCGGTTACCTCTGGCCAACAGATGTCTACACCCGAGTCAAGGGTGAGAAGCCGCCGAAAACAATGAAGCTTGTCTCCATCCCGTACCAGGGTCGAGTTGTCAGTGGCGTTTTGTTAGATGAATCTCATGGAAGACCCGTTGGGTCAATAGCATTCTATGGGGAGGATCACCGATTTGTGGAGAAGGCGCGGGAGGGAATCATGTTGCTATCCAACCGGACTTTAACAGCAGGTGAGTCGTAAGGTCAAAAAGTCTTGGAGTAAAGTAAAGTTTCAAAAATGTGTTGCTAAGCTATGTATTGTACTATGCAGCCAGCTAATCTAAACTGGAAACTATACTATATACATATATGTGTGTATATATTTCGCCAATAAAGTAGTTGTAAACACAGCTCAAAGCTCGGCTATACTATAATTATACTTAAAATACTTTAATGATGCCATAATGATTTATCATTGATCATTCATGCAAAGGCGGGTGAAATCATGAACTCCGACAACGCGGTGGACGACTCCGACTTGAACGATACTTGGGCACAAATGCAGGGAAAAGCAGCAACCAAAGGACTGGGCTATGGGCAACATGCCAGTTGTGTCTTTGTAATTTGGGCCATACACATCAATTGTCATTAATTTTTTTATGACATATATAACCTCAAATCAATACAATGCATTTGGTAATACACGTTGAATTTGAATTGAATACACTCACCTAAGTCTTTTTGTTGAGTAGTTCATGAGCAATACAATCATTTGATTTCAAATGTAGTAGTGCTATGGAAGGAGCATCTGCTGTTGGAGAAGGTGGAGAAGTCACTATGGCGGGTCCAGCTGTGGAGAGCTCATCGGGAAAAGATCCCTTGTATGATGAGCTGGATGATTTGTGGGGCAATACACTCTTCTCGCAGAGCAAGCGTCGCAGGAGAGGGATGTTGACACAAATGCTACTTTAAAAACTAATGACGTGCCCAGGGTGCTTTTACATTACAGTATGCTGTTGTATCCTGTTGTATGTAATGATGCTAATATAGTAGTATATAAAATACAACATAACTATTCAAGATATATATGTAATATTTAATATATACTATACTATATCCGAGAATCACTGGGCAGGAGCATGTTGCCGCTCTGCAAGATGCTGAGATGACGGAGTCAGGCGCTGGTACTACTGCAGAAGAGGATCATCCAGAACCGAAGAAGCCCAGAAAAGCAGAATCAGCAAAGGATGCGGCTGCAGCTAGAACTGCTAAAGAGAGCATCTTTGGTGCACTGGGTTCTCGTCGGGAACCACAAACACCAGCCGCAAACATTGCAAAGACTGCACCAAAGGGAGCTGCGCTCAAAGAATTGAACACAAGTGATTCGATCTCAACGGAGGCAGCGCAGTTGGTGCAGCAATTCGATGACTTGGATACGTTGGTCACCATCAATGAGGCCAAGATCAAAAGTGTACTTTCCAAAGTGGAAGCAAGGTTGGTTCCTCAACTGGTTTCCACTGTGTGTGGGAGTGAGTCAGACGATCGCGGCCTCCGTGTGACTGCAACCCTCAGGCAGCTCAAATTGAAGCTTCAAGCTGCCTTGCCGCTTGCAGCCTCCCTTGCTGCAGCCGCTGGAGAATCCTTTCATCCAGACTGCTTGCGCTCAGCTGTGAACCAAGTGCAACAAGCTGGAATCAAACTAAGCCCTGGTGTGTTCGACATCCTCGCCGTGCGGGAAGTTACTTTTCTGGCTGATTCCTTTGATTGGCAGGGGCTGGTAAGCAAATTAGTGGCCACAGGAACCGGGAAGAACTCTTTGGCAGAAGACTCTTGCATTGAGCTATGCTCAAGGGGGTGCATTCATGCGGTTGAGTCCGTCATGCGAGCGTCTTTGCCGCCAGGTGAGCAAGGAATTCCTTCCCTAGCTGTTTGCAATGAGCGTGGGCAACAGTTGCAAGGCTTGATTGAATGCCTCCGTGCTGAACAGGCACTTTGGAACTGGGAGCCTTTGCAAGATGTATGTTCCGAGCTGGCAAATTTGGAGATCTTGCTGAAATTTGCAAAAGAGGAAAACGTTGTCAGCGTGGACCAGGATTTCATCAGCTCAGTGGAGAAGGCTCGAACCCTCCTTTCGAGCAAGAGTTCATCTTTGCTCAGAAGCCTTACCGCACTACCATTTGGAGTCTACCTCATGGACACTACACAGGAAAAGCTGGCATTCTTCCATTCAAACAGCCAAATGCTTTCTGTGCTTCAGGGCCTGAATCATGGCACTTCAAACAGCTGTGCTTTTACTTTTTTTATTTACATATATAATATATATTATATATATAACTTAACTTAATAAGTTTTATATTATATACTATATTACGGTTACTATATACTATATACTCATACTCTTTTTTGGTTCGGTGCAGTTATGCTTTGTTGTGCCATGCTAGTTGGGGAATTGCGGCATAGGCGTAGAGGCATAGGGCATTCAGAGGGTAGGGTTTGAAGCCAGACTTCGTTCCACGTCAGACGCTTATATAATATATAAGTAAGTGTTTTGTGATTGTATAATTGTACAAGCCTTTGATCAACTAAGGAAGACACTACGTGACACTTTGCAAGTACCAGATGTGGACAGCTTCCTGAAAACTCCTGGTGTCGTCCAGTTTCCAGAAATGCAGAAGTGGGCAGATCTTGCCACCAAGTTGAACATGTTGGTTGCTTCCGCGACCCAGGACTTTCAAGGGGCATATTCAGAAGACATTCTGAAAGTACGTCACAAACAGCACGCCATTGGCAAGGTGTTGATGAAAGCGATTTTGCGCACCCTCATCACCAAGGAGAATGATCATGCAATCAATGCAGTCCTATCAGGCTCAAAACTCAGCAAGGACCCATGGTCTGGACACATGGATGTGCTGACCAAGCTTGCGAATATGACGACACTCAAGTCGGTCTTCGCATTTGATTATGCGCAGGTTCTTGGCACATCGGAGACCAAGGTGTTCGATTTGAAGGTCCTGACCAGGATCAGCAGGCTGTTTGGTCTTTGCTTGAAGATGGCTGAATGGCTGAAGCTCGATCTGGTTCTGCATTTTTTCGGTTGAACATTCAGTTATTATTTGACGTGACTTATTGTAAGCCTACAAGCTTTAGCTTTAACTTTAACTTAATATAGTATGTAAATGTATGTAATGTAAGAGTAAAAGATAGTTCTGCACAATTCTGACAATATTCTTTTGAATGCAGCCTGAGGAGAGACAGGCAAGTGTCGGAAACCACTGCGACCCTTGCACACATCTCGGACCCAATCCTCTCCGAGTTTTTCACGTTCGTCCAGGAGATGGGAGGTGATGACTCTACTCCGAGTACGTCTTGGTGGAAGATCTATGAACTTGGAGGTAGCTTCCAGGATTTCTCTTACAAGGACCTTGTATCATCCGTTGTGGCCTACATCATCCCCGCGTTGGAGACCAGTGCAGCACCAGTCACAGAAGCGATGTCATTTTTTGAGCAACAACTGGCAGAGATCAAGAAACAAACCTCCTTGGCTGTGGAACTGATCAATGACAAGCTTGTCAACGATTCAGAGTCTATCAAGAACATCCACAGCAAGAAGGCAATACTCCTTTCCAAAGTCGCTGCCAAAATGCCACAGAGTCTTGATGTGATTTCGAAGTACAACAACACCTTGATCTCACTCAAATTCCTTGGAGAACACCTCAAGCGCTTCCAGGAACAAGTCACGACTTGGGCACAGAAACTATCTGATGTCATCAAGGAATTCTTGACGGAGATGGAGTCAGAATTGAGCGGAACTACTCAAGCAATTTTGGGGACGGTGAAGAAGGCAAAGAATGCTCCCTTGCTCACAAAGCTCTTGGAGAAAGCGCAGAAGATTCAGAGCGATGGGGGTGATTTCTTGGAGAGGCTTGGAGGCAATCACACGGAGTTTGAGGGCATAAAGTCAGAGGACTTGACTGACTACTACTACCAATGTGGCAGCAAGGTGCTGTCTCTCAGCTCGAGTGTGGTAGGTTCCATTGACAAGATCAAGAAGTGTCTGGAACACCCTGTCACTCGCATCGAAATTGAATCTACTTGTTTTGCTTTGCAATATATATATATGATGTGACATGTAAATACTGCATACCGATACCGCATCATTTGCCAAACAATGTTGATAGAAGCTGTTGGCGACCAGCAGCAAGAAGAAAAACCATAGGCACTGGTCCAGGGGATATGGGGATATTGATATTGATTCTGATATTGAATACTCGTACAACACATTCATACTCACCAGTATCAATGCCAAGCATCATCCAAGGTGATGCTGCCTGTCAAAGGTGAATTGGATGTTGACCGTTCTTTGCATACCTGTGGCTATGCTGGTACACCCGAGCTGCGCTTGCTGTTCAATGTCCTGGCTGATTTGATCGTTGCTTGTCCACGTAATGTTGAAGTTTAAGCTTGCATCAATTGGAAAAGTAGCAAAAAACCATGAGTCATGAGGAATTTTATACGCATAAGCCGTAAGCCTTAAGCCTTTATGTTTTTGAACTGGAAATAAGATATTCATATCAACCACGCACAGGCTCTATCCACACTCTTCCAGGGACAGAAGGTGAACCCGGAGACTGTCACAAAGTGCATGCAGGGCAGCATGAAGAAGCAGTTGAAGCCCTCAAAGAGTGTGGCCAAAGCGCTGGCGGAGGTTCAAGGTGTGCAGTGCTTGAAGGAATGGAACGCATTCATTGGCCTGTAATGGCCTATGCTGTAAAGTCAAGGATCAGAGCACGCTTCCTCAGAGCAGTTTAAAAAGGAGCACATTTTGATGTGGCAGTGCTGTGGAAATAATATGGTAGGAAGAGGCTTTGCTGTGGCAGTAGAGTGTGCCAGTCTTGTGGCAGTAGAACAGGTTTGGTGTGGCAGTAGAAGGTTTGATGAGGTTTGCGGTGTGGCAGTATGAGATTTGATGAGGTTTGCCCTGTGGCAGTGGAACAGGTTTGGTGTGGCAGTGCTGTGGCAGTGGTGTGGCAGTGCAATGTTTGATGAGGTTAGCATTGTGGCAGTATGAGGTTTGATGAGGTTTGCGCTGTGGCTGTAGTATGTCTCAGTAGTGTGGCAATACAGGGTTGTCTCTTGACATCCTCGCCATAGAGGTTTATGGTAGGGAAACTCTCCAAGGCTAATTTATACTACCCTAGCATATGTCACGGGGTAGGTTGTTAAGACGTTGTTGAGAGCATTCGCAACCTGGGGGTCGAAGGTCAGATTCTTTTGTAAAAAGCCTTAGGACTTACGTTTATGCGGGAAACATTGGCTTTGAGCATCGTGCATGCCAAGAGCAGAATTTGTGTTGGTTTCCGACTTCGGAATTTTGCTTCATTGCTTCAACCATCACTTCGTGTGTGACAATTATATACATGTATATAGCGTCATTGTTCAGGTTCATGTCGCAGAAGGTGCGACTTCAGGTTCAATATGCACCTCAAGTGTTGTTTGCTGGGTGGCAGGGGTGTTGAAGATGTGGAGCTGTGAGGGACAGAGTCCAATAGAACTTTGCTTGTCAGGACATTGCTACAAAAGGAGCAGCAGGCTTTTGCAGTTGGAGCGCTGGTTGTCACATGCGTGAAAACCGGGGAAGACAGCGCCACAAGACAATGGTGTATACATGTTGGAATGGTGGATAGATAGATTGTAGGGCCTAAGATAGCCACCATTTGCCTGCGGAGGCGGCAAGGCCTGTTTGGCTTCAAGCTGCTGAAGAAGATACGGAAGTGCCATACAAACTTGCTCCTCGGAAGGCATCACTCAATGGCCCGTGTGGTGGGGGGAGGTCGCCAGTGGGCCCATTTCGGAGCAGAGCGTGGTGGGGGAGAGCGGAAAAAAAGAGATGGCAACTTGTTTTAGGGGTGTTGTGATGCCGATGATGTAATTGAAGGCCAGCAGTGCATCATTAGCATCACGAGGGGTTCAGGAGGCAATGTAAACCGTTTCTACCAGGGGTGGTGGGTTCATATCAATGATAGGAAAGAGGGGACAACGGGATGCGAAAAGTGGTGAGACTCCTCCAGAAAAGCCTCTCATGGCCAGTGAAACAGTGTGAAAGGGAGGTGTGTGTCTTTTGCCTGTGAGGAGCCAGAATGCTGTGGGGAAGGTGGAATCAGTTTGGGGGGGCAACCGGTTCTCAACTTCCCTGTTTTGCAATTGAGCTCAGGTTCAACAGTCGCTTGAGCGTGCTCATCACTGGCCTGGCTTTACATTGAGAACCCTGCAAGGCAGCCGTTTGTGTGTCTTCGAGCAGGCTTACAGCTGAAGCATTCCAAGCTGACAGCTCACGACAGGCCTTGGGCACGACATCGGCCAGCATGAGGCCACACTTCTCAACGATTTTCTGAAAGCACACGCGCAGGAGATGGATTTGTCGTTGTTAAAACTCGGTTTCACTTGGATCTCCGAGGTCATTGGACTCAGCCCTTTCTTTAGGATCCACCATGATCACAATTCAAGCAGACTTGCACCTGGAAGAGACGTGTTGAGGATGCCTATTTCGAAGTTGATATGAACGACGCATTTGATGAGTGGGATGATTTGGAATTGGACATTGATGTTGGTCCGTCAATCCCAGGCATAAACGCCTAGAGGCATCATCCAAAATATCAAAAGTCTTCAAACCAAATCAAGGCAAACCTGAAGCCTTGATTTAAGTAGGTCGACAACAGTGGGCCAAAGAGTCTTTGCTTTCTTCCGGTTTCATTTATCAGCGGTCTGGCAACAGCCCTGGCCTCACAGGGGAGCGAAAAAATGCTTTCCTGGTTCCCCAGGTCAGAAGGCCTTTGAATGCACATAGTTTGAAACCTGAGATCGTCGGACATGTTGCATCAGGAAATGAAAGCAAGGACCCTTGGAGACCCATTATAAGGATGGGATGTTGAAGCTATGTTCTGCGTTAGGGGAAGTTGCATTTTGCGTCAGGGTCGATTTCAAGCCAATCTATGCACTATCACTTGAGACCTAGGGCGAAGAAGCAAAACATGCACTTCCAGATGTATGGAGGTCCGTTGCCGTTGCGTGACATGTGCGGAGGATCATGACATTCTTGCACCTACCTGGAGCGTGCAAACCTCAGGGTTTCTAGCACTTGTCATACGCGTCTCATATTCAAGTACAGTAATTAGATCGAGTTGGTGTCGAAACCCTACAAATTGATGCAAATTGGGGATCCGGGACCCAGCCTTCCAAGAGGCAATGGAGAGTTCTGGGATGCAAGCTTGTTCTTGGTGAAGCATTTATCCAAGTGATATCAGCATGATCATGATCCTAATTGGAGTCAGATTTCGAAAAGCCAAGGTTAGTTTACGCCTGATGGAACAGTGGTTTCAGATCAAAACAAGCCGCTGAAGTTCTTAGATCCGCACACCATCGGATGACTCCTGATTGCTGTGAGGCTGGTGGCGATCCCAGCATCGATGGGGGCCCCGTGATAGAGCTTCGTTGGCAATGTGCTCATGAAAACAAGCGCTTAGTCTAGCCGCCGCTAGCTAGCCACAGTTCCAAAAAATAGATGTTCTGCTGGTCGCAGAACAAAAGCATGCTAAGGATGTCAGTGATCTACGGCTAAGCTCCCCGTTTGCAGATGGAAGTTGGGAGTGGATGAGTGGATCACGGTTGCTTAAAGGGTTCAAGTTGATTACATTTGCTCTTCGTCCAGCTGACTCGCTCCTTTTCATGGAAACGTGTAGTCTACATAGTCACAGCGGGACTTCTGACAGTCAGTGGCGATGATCGCAGTAATTAATTATGTGGTTTGACTCTCATAGCTTCACTGGCTTCACTATAAGCAGGATTTGTTGGAGTGGGGAGTTGGCGTCGGAGCATTTTGAGGACAATGCCAGGGGCCAGGGGTACTTTCCTCGGTGTGCAAACTTTGAGCAATCTGAAGTGAGTCTGTCGCCAGTCGTGTCTCCTTAGCCTCCTTTTTCAAAAATCACTTACTGCCTGAGATCTCGCGAGGTTCTGGAGAGGCAGTCTCACCTCTTGTTTGGTTCGAGGCTGAGACTTGGAAGTTTGGGACATCCCTTGTTCTGTTTGTGTCACGGGGGTCTTTGGACGATCAGTTCCCATTCTCGTTTGCATACAGGCCTTTCTGGTCATGGCACTTTGCTTTTCAGCCTGCGCAAGTCATTTTTGCATGCTAAGCCTGCTAAGCAAAACGTGTGACGAACGAGACTTGTGACCCATGTGTAACAAAGAGTTGTGCGTTTGATGCGTGGCCAAACCCGTGGCCACTCGGATCAAGTTGAGCGTAGCCCGCCAGCTGGCGGACCTGACACGGAGCTGCAACAAGGGGTGTTGAGTAATTTGCATGAATTAGCACAAGGAATAGACGTCGCATGTGTTGACGATGGGGGTTAAATTTGCTCCTGACTCATGGTCATGGTTCATTTGGTTCGTGTATATTCATTTGAAAAAAATGTTATAAGTATTATAAGTAAGGTTGGAGGCCATCGCTAGTAGGTTCGAGGCCATTGCTATTAGGTTTGTTCTAGCATGGTTCATGTATATTATATTCATGTCATCTTCTTTGGCCGAATGTTTGAGGCCTACCATGTCCGCACTCTTTGACTTCCAGGGCCTTCTAGTGGTGGTGCTCCTGAGCATTTGCACCTGCTCATACTTGAGGCTGCGGACGTCCATGTCACTTTTGCAGAAATTGCTGGGCTCAATAGACTTGACAGTTCTTTCCAAGGTGGACAGCCCATATTGCAGTGGATTTGTTGTGCCATGTTGTGCCATGGTGCTCAGGCCACGCTTTGGGAATTTCCTCCAGCCAAAGGCCGGTAGCCAGTCATCATTAGCATCTCCTCCTGTTCATTGAGGATTCTTGACGTTTTTTTTATAAGTGTTTTCTCAGCGTTCACGTGTGTACATTGAAGTTCTTGCTTATCACATCATATCTTTGAAGCAACCCTGCTTTGAAGATCTTTGAAGAAGCCTTGATGTTGAAACTCTATAATTGTTAAAGCGGCTGCATTTACAATATCAATTGCATCATGGCAGATCATGGCGCTATTTGTAGTCGCCTCAGTCATTTTTGGCTATGCTTTGAAAGGCCCCAGGCTTCCTGGGCATGTTCGGCCGCTTCGCGGTGATCGGAGATCGGCTGAGTCCATTTGTGAGTTGCGCCTGTATGATCATGGCGTTTCTTGGCTTGGACATGCCTGGGAGGTACTCGTTGCATTGAAGAGTTGAATTTCAATCGTTCAGACAGTTTTCTTGAAAGCTGCTTGGAGATGAAGCCCTTGCAAGCTTAGGATATCAACTCTTTTTGTCAGATGACCTCATTGACAACATGAAGTAGTGAGGATGTGCGTAGGCATATGGGCACAAAGTGCTTCGCGGGCGCCAAAGAGGGCAGATCACCAATGGGAGCCATGTGAGGCCCACGACGACGAACAGAGAGACCACAGAGTGGAAAACGAAAGTCGGTGGCCAGCATCAAGTCCATCGCAACACATGACATGCATGTATCATATATCATCATATCATCCTTGTTTGATTCTTTTTGCAATGCTTATTGCAATGGTTAGGTCATTTAGTTCATTGGATAAGAGACTCAATAGGTTGGTTCAATGAGGTTCCCGATCGTTCGATGCAAGCGCAGTGCAAATTCATTTTGTGTTACCAGTCGTTGACCTGCGCGTTGGCCAACCCAGGTCGCCTCATCTCAAGTCGCCTTTGGGCCTCCCGCTGAAGGATGTGGGTTTGCGCGTATGGGTCCCCAGCACATTAAACTAAATTTAAATTTGAGCTGCAAGCATCTCATTTTTGCAGCTGCAGATGTTTGTCAACTTGCTCGTTGTGCCGGAGCATTTGCCAATTTCACAACTTGCAGTCGACGTCAATGCTTACAATAAACATCTAAGTTGACCCATGTAGTTGGACCGCGAGGATGCTACCAAAGTATATATATATGTGTGTGAACATAATGTTCAACATAGTGATGCCTTCAACCAGCAAAATATTGCAACGCAAGCTGTTGTTCTATGAATCATGTTCTCCAGCTTGGCTTTGCCTCGCGCGTGAATTTAGAAGCATCATGTTGCCCAGATTCTTTATGTGTCCTTCATCCACCATTTGCACTGGCCATGCAATGATCACAAAATTGACTGGCATAGTGAAATCACTTCCTCAGCATGTCGGACGAACGTCCTATGACAACGCAAGCCTGCGCGGCGCATGATGTGCAGCGATACAGCCAGCAACTTTCCGGCATTCAGAGGCCATGGCTCCATTCTGCATGCTGGAGCTGTTTCTTTGTATAGCATAATGTATGCTTGGCATTGCTTGGCCATAGCCAGCGTCAAGAGATGCAACAAGGGTTTTGGCCCCGTAGAGCCATGGGAGGTAAGGCAAGGCAAGAATCCTTTTAAAGACTTTGTTGGTAACGTGGGGAGCGATCCACGATCCAAAGCTAGGTGCACGAAGTCCTAGACAAAGTTCCTATCACACGAAGGCCGCCAGTCACGGCCCTTTTCTCATCGCCATAGCTCGTGACGCGTACGCGGCCCGCCCTGGGTTTGAGGCGGCACGCGAAGTCAAGGTTTCACATTCAAATTCCATGTTGTGTGGCACACAACTCACATTGGTGTAAAAAGGGCTGTTTTCAGCTCATAAAGAAAATCATGCAGGTGGCATTGCGACATCTCGTCTACCAGGTGACATTCGAGCTCACTGCAGTGCCGGTCAGGTCACCATGGACATTTTGTGCCCAGTGCACACCTTCCATCTCGGATTGTGGCGTGCATTCCTCAAAGAACGTGTGGGCACATGCCTTGCATGGCTGCCTGGTGTATACCAGGTTGGCAGTGCGTTGTCCAACGCAGGCTTTGCTTGCATGCCAACAGCCTCCCATGCTTGCCAAGTACACTGGCTTCAGTGATGCCTGTTGCTTTGCCACTTTCAGCTTCTGGTCGAGCATCCTTTGTTGCTCATCCTTCAGCTTTTAGTTCTCGATGCAAGACCTCTACTCGTCGCCGGGAATCTTGATGCTGGTGTTGGGCCAGTGCCCATTCATTCTTGAGGTGTTCCACTTCCTCTGTCAAAGCCATATTGTCTTTTCTGAGGTGGATCAGTCTCTCCTCTTCCAACCCTGTCCTTGTAGTCTGGGTGCTCATCTCCCGTGTGGTACTCGTTGCTTCGACTATAGGTACAGACCTTGTACTCATTGGCGTCCAGGTCATAGTCATAGTCCAGCCGTTGCTGCATTTGATACAGAACCAAATGAACAAGCCGATCATCAAGGTGAACAGGATCATCAGGACATACTCCATCATGTCATACTCGGCATAGCTGTAGTGTTCCCCCTTCATGCCGTAGGACTCGTTCATCTCCCATTCGCCCTTCACGGAATTCATGAAGTGTGTTGCGAACATTGCAAAGAGTGCTCGCTCCGGCTTCTTGATGGCATACATATTTTCTCCTTTCTTGCGACTTGCCATATTCTTTCTTTTTGATGCCTGGAAGTTCTTGTCGCTGGTGAGCTTGGTCATATGCGTCCGCAATCTTTGTCCCAACAGTGGCGCAGCAGTCTCCTTGGTAAGGCCATCTGCATATTGAAGTTCTGAAGAGACCCATCGTACTTTTCCATTGCAACAAGCCAGCTTATCTCGGCAGACCAAAGCCTCAATTGTTGTCCTCTTATTTGCTCCCGTTGCAGCTTGGATCTCATCTTCGACAAGAATGTCGTAAAGAGCTTTTGCGTCCACAATCAGCTTTGGACTGTTGGTCAAATA